CCGCCGCCGCCCGCGCACCGCCGCTGCTGCGCCCGCTGCCGCCTGCGTATCACCGCTGCTGAGCCCGCCCCTGCTGCGCCGGCTCTCGCTGCCGCCTGCTGCGCCTGTGCACCACTGCAGATCCTACTACTACACTTCCTGCTACTGCTGCTTGTGCGCCACTACAGTCCGTAGGCCCCACCGGCCCTGCTGACCCTGCGCACGCCTGTTCAGTGACTTTACTGCTTCTACTACTGCCGCTGTCGCTATGGCTAGTCCTCCTGTTCTAGCTTTCGACGCCGAGGGCCCGCCGGTCAAATTCGAAACCTGGCTAGATGACCTGCACCTTTTCCTACAGCTCACTGCCAAGGAAGATATTACACTGTACGACCACGCTCTCGGCCATGCGACCGCCCCACTCGCTACTCGCTACTAACTCGCCCCCCAGCTTAGCGTCTCACAGTGGCAGACCCGTGACGCGCACGCTCGCTTTGCTATTCGCAACTCCCTGCCGCTAGATGAGCGCGAGCACTTCGGCCAGTGCAAGACTGCTAAGGACCTCTACACAGCTGTAGTGGCCCGCTACTCCTCACCCGCTTCTGCCACACTAGGCCGCCTCACTCTCCCCTACCTGTTCCCCGACCTAGCCTCTTTTCACACTGTCGCAGACCTCATCACCCACCTTAAGACTAGTGAGGCTCGCTTTCGCGCTGCCATGCCTGATGAGTTCCTCGCTAGCAACCCCCCCCGCTCTGGATCACCCTCTACCACGTTGTCACCCGCCTCCCTGACTCTCTGCGCCCTGTCAGGGACCAGTTCCTCTCTCGCTCCCCCACTGAGCTCACCATAGCCCTCCTCGAGAAGGAACTGCTTGCAGCCGAGGCTAGTATCGTCGCTGTAGGCACCTCTCGTGGCGACCCCCGCGGCCCCTTCTTCGAGGGGTGCTCCCCTTCCCCCCTCCTCCCCTCTGTCGCCTCTGCTGCTGCTGTCGACCTCCTTGGTGCTGAGAAGGTCGGGGCTGCGTCTGCTTCAGGCGGACGACGCAGGGGCAGGAGTGGCAGGAGTGGGGGTGGTGGCGGAGGAGGCGGGGGTGGAGGTGGTGGCGGTGGAGGTGCGACTGGAGAGGCTAGTGGCGGCGGTGGTGGAGGTGACAGCGGTGTTGGGAGTGGTGACAGGGGCGGAGGTGGCAGCGGAGGCGGAGGTGGTCGTGGCAGCGGCAGGGGTGGAGGTGGCCGGGGCGGAGGCGGAGGGGGTGGTGGTCGTGGAGGCCCGGGGGGCGGTCAGAGTCAGCAGCCTGCCCCGACCCTTCAGGCCGCCCGTGAGTGGTATGCGCGGCGCAGCGTCACCTGCCAGTACGTTATTCGTACAGGTGACCGCACTGGCCAGACGTGTGGGGGGCCGCACCAGACGGAGCGCTGCTTCGCCCGCCTCAACGATGCGTGGCGCACTCAGTTTCCTGGTGGGGGTGAGCTGCCGCGCTGGGCTGATCTGCTCAGGAAGGGTGTTGATATTTGGGCACTTGACTTTGATGCTATTCTCACTGCCATGTATGCGATGTCTATTAGTGGAGAGGGTGCTCAGTACTTGCGTGTTCCGCCCGACCCGGGCATTCAGGCCAGCCCCGCTGCTGCTCTAGGTGCTAGTGTGTCTGCTTCCACAGGTACTTCTGCAGCTGCTGCTCTAGGTGCTTGTGCGTCTGTGCCCCCTGGTACTGAGTCGACTGCAGCACTGCACACCTTCACACTGGACTCAGGTGCTTCTCGCTCTTTCTTTTGTGACCGCACTGTCCTTGAGCCTCTAGCTCGGCCGGTTGCTGTCTCTCTTGCTGACCCCTCTGGGGGTCCGGTCCTTGCGACCTCCTCCACCACCCTTCCGTGTCCAGCGGTTCCGTCCGGCACGCTCTCAGGTCTCTACCTCCCCTCGTTCTCCACGAACTTGGTGGCAGGTAGTGCGCTCCAGGACTCGGGTGTTCACCAGTTCACCCCTGCCTACGAGCGTGTGACTCACTGCACGTGTGCTCGGACGGGCCGCCACCTAGCTACTTTCACTCGAGAGCCGGGGTCTGACCTGTACACACTGACCACTGAGTCCCCTCAGGTAGCTGCGTCTGCGTCAGCGTCAGGTCAGCTGTCCGCCCCCTGCTCGTGTCGCTCTCTGGCGAACGACACCGTCCTCTGGCACCACCGCCTTGGTCACCCGTCTGTGCAGCGCCTGCGGGCCATGCACAAACGGGACCTTGTTGCTGGTCTTCCCAGGGTGCTCCCTCCCCTTCCTGACTCCCCTGCTCCTGACTGCATTCCCTGTGTCGAGGGGCGGCAGCGCGCTGCTCCTCACTCCTCCTCCTTTCCCCCGACGACCGCTCCCCTGCAGACACTCCACATGGACGTGTGGGGCCCGGCCCGCGTCCGTGGTCAGGGTCAGGAGAGGTACTTCCTGATAGTTGTTGACGACTACTCGCGCTACACCACGGTCTTCCCCTTGCGCGCCAAGGGTGACGTCCCTGGTGTTTTGATCCCCTGGATCAGCCGAGCCCGTCTCCAGCTAGGCGAGCGCTTTCACTCGGACTTTCCTGTCCTGCGCTTGCACTCTGACAGGGGTGGTGAGTTCGCCTCCGACCTCTTGGCAGCCTACTGTGCTGAGCACGGCATTGAGCAGTCGTACACGCTTCCGGCCTCTCCACAGCAGAATGGGGTTGCTGAGCGCCGCATTGGCTTAGTCATGGAGGTCGCTCGTACCTCCCTGACCCATGCGGCTGCTCCCCACTTTCTGTGGCCGTTTGCGGTCCGGTACGCAGCGCATCAGCTCAACCTCTGGCCCCGTGTCTCCTTGCCGGAGACTTCCCCGACTCTACGGTGGACGGGAGAGGTTGGCGATGCGTCGCGTTTCCGGGTCTGGGGATCTCGAGCTTTTGTCCGCGACACGTCCGCGGACAAGCTCTCGCGTCGCACTGTTCCCTGTGTCTTTCTTGGCTTTGTTCCCGACGCGCCTGGATGGCAGTTTTACCACGTCACCTCGCGCCGGGTTCTGGCCTCTCAGGACGTCACTTTTGACGAGTCCGTCCCCTTCTACCGCCTCTTCCCCTACCGCACTGCCCCGCTCCCCCCCCGCCTCTCTTCCTCGCTCCAGGTGCTGAGGTACCAGACCCCCTCCCCCCTCAGGGTGCCGCTCCCTCAGGTGTGTCCCAGGTAGACCCGGGTGAGCCTGTCGAGGTAGCTGTTGACTCGCGTCCTGCGTCTGGGGGTGCTGAGCCTGGGAGTGCTGCGTTTGAGGGTGCGGAGCCTGGGGGTGCTGAGCCTGGAGGTGCGGAGCCTGGGGGTGCTGAGCCTGGAGGTGCGGAGCCTGGAGGTGCGGAGCCTGGAGGTACTGAGCCTGGAGGTGTGGAGCCTGGGGGTGCGGAGCCTGGAGGTGCGGAGCCTGGAGGTGCTGAGTCTGGACGTGCTGAGTCTGGGGGTGCTGAGTCTGGGGGTGCTGAGCCTGAGCGTGCTCCACCTGGAGGAGCCCCCTCCTCCCAGCAGCTGCAGGAGAGGTACCTCGAGTACTGCCGCCTACGGAGAGGTGCTTCTGGAGCTCGTCCCGGTACTTCCCCTCCTACCCAGGAGCTCCCCCCCATTCAGGTGATCCGCGAGTGGTACACGCGGCGCTGCAGTCTTCGTAGTGGTGCTCCTGGTACTGCGGACCCGAGCGGTGGTGCTGTTGCTGGTGCTGAGGACCCGGACGCTGGAGCTGCTGCTGGTGCTGAGGACCCGGGGGCTGGAGCTGCTGCTGGTACTGAGGACCCGGGCGTTGGAGCTGCTGCTGGTGCTGAGGACCCGACCGGTGGCGCTGCTGCTGGTGCTGAGGACCTGACCAGTGGCCCTGCTGCTGGTGCTGAGGACCCGGACGTTGGAGCTGCTGCTGGTGCTGAGGACCCGACCGGTGGTGCTGCTGCTGGTGCTGAGGACTCGGGCGTTGGAGCTGCTGCTGGTGCTGAGGACTCGGGCGTTGGGGCTGCCACTGGTGTCCCTGCTGCTTCTGGAGACGCTGCGCGACCGCGACCGTACTTCGTACCGCTCCTTCAGCAGGTTCTTGGTCAGGCTCCTCCTCCTTGTCCTCCTCCCTCCGTCGAGTGTCCTCTGCCTGTCCAGCCGCAGTCACAGTTACCGCCTGTCTCGCCTCTCCCTGCTCCCTCCCCTTACGCTGGTCCCACAGGAGGTCTTACAGAGCGTCGTGAGCCTGAGTCTCGTCCTGCGTCGCCTGTTCGTACTGCTCGCACTGGTCGTCGTGTCCCACGTGAGCGTCCTCCTCCTGTCCCTGGCACTCACTACATGACTCTGCGTCCCTCCACTGCTCCGCAGCGTGTCCCGCTGCCGTCTCCTCCTGCGTCCTCTCTTCCTACTCTTCCTGACCCGGAGTCTGACTCCCGTCGTGCTGCCAGTCCCACTGTTACGCGTCTCCTCGCTACAGTTGTCACTGACCCGACCTTTGAGTCCTCTGCTGCGTCTGCTCTGGTCGCTGAGTTGGTTGACTTTGCTGCTCGCTGTCGCCTAGACTACGCTGCCAGCCTTGTCGCTAGGTCTGAGTCTGCGTCTGCCTGTCCTCCGTCCGTCTCTCTCTCTCTCTCTCTCTCTCTCTCTCTCTCTCTCTCTCTCTCTCTCTCTCTCTCTCTCTCTCTCTCTCTCTCTCTCTCTCTCTCGGGCCACCTTCTTGCTTCTCCGCCTGATTCCTTTGCAGCCATCCTCTCTGCCCGCAGGTGCTCTTCTGCTTTCTCACGATGCGCTCCCCCATCTGCCCTTGAGGTGCTGGGTGACGAACGTTCACTACTCCTGCCTCGCGCCTTCCCTTCCAGCCGCCGCCTCCTTGCTGGCGAGCACTGAACGTGCCTTCCTTCTTGATTCTCGTCCTCCTGCTCTTTCGACCATTCCGGCGATTTCCTTCCTCCCATCACCATACGCCTCCTGCCCACACGGCCTTGACCCGGCTCGGGCGACCGATACACTCTTGCTGGTGCAGCACGGCTCTTCTCCTCCTCCCCTCATTCCCTTGACAATGGCTTAGCTGCTTCGCTCTTCTTGCGCCTCGCTTCACCTCCACGCGATCCCTTGGGCGAGTATTCTGCTCCTCTGATTCCTCGACCGTCATCCCACTCTTCTTAATGATGCTTCTGTCCATCTGCTTCCCTCTCATATTTTCCCTTCACGCAACCCCGTGTAGTTGGTGTCTCTTTCCGTTGTGCCATGTCCTGCATTCCACCACCCCGCGCAATTGGGGTACCCTCGCGTTCCTCTCTGCAGCGCCTTGCGCTACTCCCACGCACCACCTCTGGCGTGCAACCTGCCTCCCAGCTTCCGCAGCGCCTCGCATCACCCCCACGCATCTCCCCTGGCGCGCAATCTGGATCCGCAATATTTCCTTGGCGCCTCGCGCCTCTCCCGCACATCCCCTCTGGTGCGCGAGCTGCCTACGCGACGTTCCCCTGACGTCTCACGCCACTCCCGCGTAACTCCTCTGGTGCGAAATCTGCATCGGCGCTCCCGTGACGTTTCGCGCCGCCGCCGTGCATCCCTACCAGCGACCCATTTTCGCCTGTGTCGTTGCTCCCTTCGTCGCGCTCTTCTTTCGCGACTTCCTTATCACCATCCCGCATCGTCGAGACCTCTTCTGCTTCCTCGCCATCGGCCTCGTTTGCCAACTCCGACGATTCCACCACGTCTGCGTCGTCGTGACGCCTTCCACCCTCTCCTTGCTGGCCGCCTGCCAGATTCCAAGGACTGCTGCTGGACGGTCGAGGCCTGGGCTCTGATCCCGCGTGCAGATCTGCCTCGCCTCTACCTCGACATCCGTCAAACGCCAGATTTGTGCGGTACGCCGCCCTCCGTGGCGAACGTGTCCCCGATCTCCCACGCTTCAGTGAGTGCGTCCTCCGCGACGGTGAAGAATCTTGCCGCGAGTTCATTTACTGCCAGCGCAGCTCGTGGCAGTCCATTCTGCCCAATCTTTTCTCTCGTTTGTGAGAGATTCTCCCTCCTACACGATGACTGCCCCTTGTGGCTTAGTCACCTAGCTGTAGTAGCGTCGATCGGCAACGTACATCCACTATAATAGGCAAACAAATGAGAGAATAGGATTTGCAGACTAGGCTAGGCTACTTAAACCGCCTTCCCTCCTCGTGAATGTTTCATCGAGTTGGGTTGGGCTCGAGTCGCCTGGGCGTGGATTGGCCCTCGCAAATTTTCTGTTCCCCAAGGGTCCTCGAATGCTTCCTCCTAGGCACTCCGCAAGCTCCAATATCACCAACTTCACGTCACCCCCTGTACCCCAACTACCACTCGGTGAAACTGCATACAACAAAGTACACGCATCTACACCTCACTAAGCATGGAACTGAATATACTGTTCGTAACTGTAAATTCAGTGACAAGTCTCATGTCGACATTGGGATACCAGCCCTCGATCGCCCTTGCCATCGCGACCTCAGCGACGGTCGCATGCCTTCGCAGATCCTCGTCGAGGTAACCTAATCGACCGGGTCAACCACCCAGCATACACCCTGGTTAACGACCTTTCTCATCGACTACCGCGCCCGTCGAAGACCCCTCTTGTCGACAGACCCCTCCGTTGACCAACTTGATCAGCTCCGGCCGTCGAGATCCCCTAGTCAACGGCTCCAGCTCCGCGACTGTTCTGTGCGGGTCGACGACCACACCTGCTCCGCAAAAGGAGGCCGTCGGCTCCCCGCCGACGGCATCGCCGTAACGGTCCCCTGTAGCTCGACGAGGCCCGTCAAGCTGCTCGCCTAGGCTGGCGTCAACCACAGAATGCAATCGGCTGCTTCTTCCGTGCACCCGATCAGGAAGTCGGCGTCGCCCAAGCGAGGGCGGGGGCAACACTCCATTTCAGTTAACACTCCCCTGCCGCACTCACGCTTGGGCACCCTACCCACACGGCAGAACTCTACGGAGAAAAACTCAGTGCCGACGTGCACCCAATACACAGCACGCCGTCACCGCACCAGCCGTGCAGAAGGGCATGATATCTACTGCTGCACATCGTCATTACTGCCATTGACATCCGGCAGGCACACCTGGCTGATCGCGACGGAGCACCAATTGAAGGACAGAAAGTGGAGCGCCTTTGTCAGGAAGTCTGCTGGCTGCTTGAAAGTTGAAATGTACCTCAGCACGAACTTCCAGCACTTCACCATCTGCTGCAGCAAGGTGTAGCGTCGCTCCATGTGCTTGAGGTTCCCCTTCAGCCCCAAGCCCTCAGGGACATTGATCGCCGACTTGTTGTCCACCTGGAGGACAATCGGCTTCCCAACGCCGAGCAGCTGAAATTCTGCAAGATGAAAGCAAAGTCGACACCCCTCCTTGCCAGCTTCTGTGGCTGCGACATACTCCGAATCCGTCGAGGAGAGCGTCGCGCACTTGATGCGCTGGCTTGACCAGAAGACCGCGGCCCCTCCGAAGACAAACACGTGGCTGCCCGTGCTCGTTCGGTTCTGCTTGTTGCTAGCGTCGTTGGCATACACGTAGCCGACCAACTTCTACGACTATGGTCCACTACCAAACTCCAGTGCAATGTCACTTGTTGGCGAGGTAGGCGAGGCAGCGGTCGACCTCGTGCCAGTGTTGGACGCTCCACACCGTGAGGCCGCAACCCAGCATGTTGCAGGCGGAGGCGATATCCGGTCTCGTTGTCGTCGCCGCGAACTACAGCGAGCCAACCATTTGCTGATGCTCCTCCTCCTCGCGCTCCTACGCCTCCTCGTCGTCGAATGCTAGCTCAGCATAGGCGTCGTATTGCTCACGATCCATCACTTTAAGAGCTTACGGCGAACTCATTTCTCATCTAAACCAAGTTTGATCGGTAGGAATATGTGCCTTACGCTTAGCTACCATCTCCAATTTGAATAAACTGTGAGAACAAGTTGAAAATGTATAATAGCTGCATGACTAGAATGATGGAGGAAGTAAAATCATTAAGGCAAGACATGGTTGGAGACCGGGACTCCAGAAGAACCATGAGAGGGAAAGGGTCCTCCAAGAGCTAAGAAGGATGGTTGCAACCTTCCTAGCAGCAAGGATGCAACCCTCATCATGAGGTCCTTGAGGTGTCACATGCAAAATCCAATCTAATTGGATTTTGCATACGTGTGGCAACATTTGCAACCCATGCAAGAAACTTCTAGCCACCACAATCGCAATACGCCTGCGGAAGGAGCTCCACGGGCTATTCTAACTCCTTCATCGCTTCATCTTTGAGGATGTAGCTGGTGAGGGAGTCCTCATCAAGCGACTCCCACGTGCTCGAAACCAATAGCATCCGGCGCATGAAGTTGTAGCCGCTTGGCAGGCCTCTGACAATGTGTGTGATGTAGGATGCCATCAATTATGTAATGTCCACCATCCGCATTTCGGCGAACATCTGTCGAGCACGGATGTAGTGGTCCGTCGTCGACTCTTGCTTGCCCATCCGGACGTGTGTCATTTGCTCCTCTAGCTGTCCAATGTATAGGTCGCCCGTCGCCTGGTACTTTGATAGGATGAACTTCCACGCCTTGTGGCCAGCATCCAGTCGCTCTCGACAAGGTTTCAGCTCTATCTGCACCACCGGCGAGCAACACCTCGAGATGACCATGAAGGTGAGCAAGTGAGCCGAGCGAAACTCCCCACTCAGCTCGACCTCGTCCTTGTTCGGGATCGGCACAGTTCCTTCGGCGAAGCCCTTCAGCCCCGGAATCTCCAGCTGAGGCTCGATAGCCTCCCTTCACGTGATGAGGTCACGCCGACCTTGCAGCAGTGGGGTCATGGAGATTTTGTCCGGCGAGAACTTAAAGTACTCATACGCCAGAGCGATCCCTCCCCCTGTCACACGCGTTGTCGATGAGGGCCTCCTGTTGCTTCGAGGAGGAGAGTGACGTCGACCATCGACGTCGACGCGCGAGCTGCCTGCGGCTTCCGTCGACCGCTGCACTCGCGCCTGATTCCCTTCGACACCACAGTCGACGGACCTGATCACCTCACTTGTCTTCGTGCCCTCGCTGCCAACGACTCGACCACCTCGTCGATGCCACCTTCGTTCTGCACCGGTCGAGGAGATGCAGGTCGGGAGGGGTGTTCCGCCACCCACTTGGGCGCAGATGCTCAGCTCAACGACCTCCAAGGGGAGCACTGCGGAGATAAATACTTCAACGGGGCTAGACTATGGGGTAGGCACGGGGTAGGAGTGTTTGTAGCGTTCGTTCCTTAGTCGTTTGCTTTGTTCTCTCTATGCACACATGCACCGGGAGAATTTGCAAGAGTTTCACTAGCAAAAGTTATGAACAATGGTACGGAATAGTTGCAACAACATTGGCAATGCTGACTACATTAGCTAGCAAGCATGCGCATCACGTGAACAGCGCAG